TCAGGTGAGACAAAGATTTCCTCACATCATTCCACAGTGAAGGCTGCATTATGATGTTTTCATGTATTGATTTAAATACAAAAATGTACAATTATAGAATTTTTTGTCATATTGAAATATTGCATGTGATATTGAGCATTTTAACCTACAGATAAAATTCTCCATTCCTAATAGACAAAGAGCAAACAGTAATCCTACAATATACTTTTACACTTGTTCACTCCTCTTCTGCAGTTGTATTTATTTCTGCATGTGTGTGCGCATTTGCACTTACCCTTCTGTAGCTGTTGAGCGCAACAACTTGATGAGGCTGTCCCAGAGCATCCCTTTCACTCCTGTGCCCCCTAGAGGTAAGTCTGGTTCACGGTGCATGCCCACACATGTCAGATCACATGAAAACACCACAGACACCTCTGAGAGGCAACAGCAGGAAGTTGGTGATGAGGAAGTATGGAGCCAGATAAGAGATGTGGTTTCAACATTGTTTTTGTCTCTTCACTCCTGCAGCTGTTTTGCATCATGCCCAAGCCATTGATGAACAGAGTGCGGGTGCTGTCGGCGTTTTTGGTTTTGTTTTTGTTTTGTTTAATATTTTTTAACTACCCAAAATAGGAACATCTTTTTGCTAAAGAGGAACTACATCAGTGGTAGTCAAATGGGGCCATGCGATACATGCAGTTTCTAGCCATTTTATCACAGTGGTGTTAGGAGGTGATTACTGTATATTTGCAACCAGTGCGTCATACAGTATAATAATGCCTCAGTCCTTTTTTTTGGAGTAATCCTTCTCTTCATCAGTCGATATGGCTGAGTTTCATGGCTCTCGCTACATAGGGTTTATGTTGCTCTGTGTCTGCTCGATGTGTAAGGAAATGAGAAGGAGCAACAGAAGCTCTTGATAAGCAGACAGTATGTGTCCGTGTTGTGTTGCTGGAGTTTCTGACTCCCAGTGGACAAAATTTGTAATGCAGCAAAATTTTATTTATCTAGTTGTCTCTGTTTAGACCGTATAAAGGGGAGACAGAGACAGAAAAACATGAGCAAAAACACTGCATTTCATATACAGCAAAGAATGTTACGTTTAATTCATAACTCTCACCCTCCCACTGTGTGTTCCTTCAGGGGAACCGGTGACTGTGTACCGTTTGGAGGAGAGCTCTCCCAACACTATCAACAACAGCATGTCTTCCTGGGCCCAGCGAGGCCTCTGTGCCAAAATAGAGTTCCTCAGCAAGGAGGAGATGGGCGGAGGACTCAGGCGGGCCCTCAAGGTGCTCTGCACTTGGTCAGAGTACGATATCCTAAAACCAGGACACCTGTATATAGTCAAATCCTTCCTGCCCGAGGTAGTCCAGACCTGGCAGAGCATCTACAAGGAGGACACTGTGCTGCACCTTTGTCTCAGGGTAGGGAACACAAATACACTGTCGTATCTCTTGCACTGTAACACTGGGCTGATTACCGCCATAGAAACTGCCTGAGGTCAAAAATGTATGAGTTTATCTTAGCAGTGCTGAGTAGATTTGGTTAGATTTAATTTGCAGCATGGGTGTAGATTTGGGTTTTACTTTTTCTGATCTCAAACAATCTAAAATATAAACTCCACATAGTGTGAAGATCTTTGCGTCTTTTTCTTTGAGTTAAAGAAATGTAAAATATCTTTTTAAAAGAGAAACTGTTTAAACATAGAAGATGAGATGATGCAAAACATCATGATACAAGTTCGGTGTCAGGCACATTACTTCAGCAAACACATATACAATGAAATTTATTTAATCAGTCTTTAAAAAACCTTTATTTACTTTTAGTATAATTGCAGTTTCTTGATAACAGCCCTCACACCCACAAGACTGTATGTAGCATTGCATTATAAAAGTAGGAACTGCACTAATGTTAGGCCTCATATAGAATCTATTTTAACCGTTTGTTTCCCTGTGTCACTTAAGGAAATTCAACAACAACGAGCTGCTCAGAAGCTGACATTTGCCTTTAACCAAGTCAGGCAGAAGACGATTCCTTATTCACCGAGGTAAGCACACCTACAGCAGGGTTTGCAGTACAGTTTTGGGTTACTTTATTTTCATATCTGTCTTTCATAATCTAGTTCCTTGTGTGCAAAGTTTGCTTATCATTGTGGTTTTGCAAGACCATATCAGCACTTGTGTATAACCGTCACAGCAGGTGATTTCACACGTCAACTGGAATTTCTTTCTTTTTTTTCTTTTGTGTCCATTCTTGTGGGCCAGTACCCTGAAATCTGAGTTCTCTGTGCATTCAGGTTTCTGGAGGTGTATCTGCTCTACTGTCACTCTGCCGGACAGTGGTTTGCTATAGAAGAGTGCATCACCGGGGAGTTCAGGAAGTTCAACAACAACAACGGGGACGAGATTGTCCCCACTAACCTCCTGGAGGAAACCATGCTGGCCTTCAGCCACTGGACCTATGAGTACACCCGTGGAGAGCTGCTGGTGCTCGACCTGCAAGGTGAGAGCTCCAACACACACTCTGGACATGGGACTTGCATGCAAATACACTGAATACTTTAAAATGCTGTTGAGCTCATTTATAGGAGGAGGTTTTTTTGTTTGTTTGTTTTTTGAAGATGAGATTTGAACAGTGGGCAAATGTGTGGATGTAATTCGTCTGTCCTCTGACAAAATATGTTTAAATCAATGGCCTTTCTCCACTGACTTCCTGTGAACTTAACAGAGTTGTATCAATGTATTTTCTATTTAAGTTCATTGATAATGACGCTTGTGTATTTGTTGTGCACCTCTGCAGGTGTTGGGGAGATTCTGACAGATCCTTCGGTCATAAAGAGCGGTGAAAAGGGGTAAGCTCACAATTTATTTAGTATCTTGTGACTCTCGTTGGGAACAATTTCAACTTTACCTGCCACATTTTTTCTGCACTTAATGACTTCTGTGTGACTCTGCAGGTCTTATGATATGATATTTGGACCAGCCAACCTGGGGGATGATGCCATTAGGAACTTCCGTGCAAAACACCACTGCAACTCCTGCTGTCGGAAACTCAAACTTCCTGGTGAGAGATGTTTCACTGCTGCTGTTTAGTAAAATTATTCCTGCGCTAAATTACTGCTCAGCTGTGCTCAGATTGTCTGTTCACAAAAATATTTCGTTTGTAGCTTAGTTTGTGTCTTTATATAATAAAATTCTAACATAACTTTGACTTTTTTCCTTTTTCTTGTTTGTCAGATCTGAAGAGGAACGACTACACACCAGATAAGGTGACGTTCCCACAAGAAGACCCTCCAAACCCAGGGGGCGGCGTCAAGGAGTCCCGCCAATCAATGAGACTGATGCTGTGATCGGTTTAAAGTGAGACAGAGAGAGAGAGAGTGAATGATCACGAGGCGGCACTATTCTGATTTGATTTTAGTCGAAGCCAAGGAGCAGAAAGGTGCACCTAATCAACTGGAAGAACCACACCTGGGTTTCCGTGGAAACCAGTGCATGCAGACTGTCATGTTTTTGTTGTTCCCACCAAAATGCTGTGTCGCACAGAATTCAAGCATCTTAGCTAACCCTTTTGTTCTGTAGCACATTCATGGGGGGATTTTTAAACACATTTTGTACACATTTATGAATATATATACAGTATATATATATATATATATATATATATATATGAACTGGATATATTGACAGGTACAATATCTTTGCAGAGGGTTTATTATTTATTTTGAAGTTTGAGAAGTTGCCTTGTTTTAACAAAAAAAGAAAAAAAACAAAGAACAAATCTAAGTGCATTGTACACCTGTTACAGCGGCTTCGGAGAGGACAGCCTGCTGGGATTCAGTCACTGCAGCACTGCAGTTTGCCACCAGATCATTTTTATAAATGTATAAAGACTTGTATCACAACTTTTTGTCTCTTAGTTAATGAAAATATACATGAATTTGAAAATCTTGTAAAATATGGGCAGATTGCAATGCAACTTTTACAGAGCAATGTATGTAATTTTATTGTATTGAAAGTGTGTCCACCAAAATATTGCTAATAGTTTTTATTGTTACACAGGTACTATTGCTATATCTTTGTCATCAACTATTGTATGAGCAATCTAGTGTATCTTATAGATACTGTTATCTGGCATGAGCTGAACAGATTAAAATATTTTATTCAGGGGAACTGACAAACTTAAGGGTATTACTGTATACGTTTTGTACTGGATATCATTTTAAACAAATAAAATGTCAAAAAGCTATAGCAACATCACTCAAGTCTTAAAGAATCACTGTGTTACGACGTGTGGCCTAAAATCAGACTTTCTTATGTGATAGGAAAGTGAAAATCTTTGGGTTTTAGAGTGTTGGTCAGATAAAACAATATGAATCCATCGTCTTATTACAAGGAAAACATAATGGGCATTCTTCACTATTTTCTGGCATTTTATATTTTATATTTATAGACAAAACAATTATTCCATTACATCAAGAAAAGAATCCTTATTTGCTACCCCTTGTAAAAAAATGTTGGTACCTTAAAATTTTGTGTCCACAGTGAGGTGTGTGTAGACCAACCCTTGATCCATGCTGAAACTTTGACAAATGATGGATGAGCAGTGACATCCAGCAGATGAAGGGCTGGTAAATTCTTGAACGTATGCCTTCTGAAGGAGACAGTGGGTCTAGTGTTTGAACGAGGTCTCCACACACAATAACCTCTCCTCATCTGCCTCAGACCAAACTGCTCACCTGTGCAGCAGTGAGATAACGTGATGGCTGAGCGCAGGACACTGGTTATTTCGCTTCTCTGAAAGGAGAAATATGACAGACTAAGGTCAGCAGCAGGGCTACAGTGGAGGGTAAATCCCCTCTCACTGTCCTGACTTTTTAGTGGGTAGAGTAAGACTTTAGCACGAGCTGGTTCCCCTGCTCTGCAGTACCGCCATCACTTTGTTGATTAGGAAGTCAGTTTCAATGCGGCATATGCCGGGCAGACTGGTTTACCGTCCCACTGGGTGTGGTTAATAAAATACAGAAGTTTAATCACGTCTGCAATTTATGTAGCTCGGACTTCGAACTGAAAGTTACAGCTCTGTTACAGGGTTTAAGCTGCAAAATCATGGCTACGGTCGCTATTGAATATTGGTAAGTTTTTTTATTCAGTTAATCATTCTGCTGATTAATTGTAATTAGGACAGCCTGCAATGAACTCACTAATTTTGAAATGGACAAACAGGGCAAAATGCTAATGAAGTCATTGTCCTGGGGAAATAAATATTAGACTTTGATCTGCAGAGGTCTGTATAATGTGACTGTACAGCTCTAATTTTCTAGATTAGCTAGGTTTCCTAAGAAGGTCAAGGACCAGGTAGAAACAGGTCGAGTACGTATTTTAATTCATCATATTCATCTTAACTAAAAATATTTTTCTCTGCTTAGAAACTGTCACTATTTCAGCCATAAAGGATTTCTGCTTGGTTCAATATACTCTTTATTCAGTGTTGAATGAGTAAAGTAGTAAGTTTATTAATGTGTTTTTACTTCATGTTGTTTTCTGTTACAGTAAAGGATGAAGCTACGGGTTTCGTTACCAGGAACTAGCCGGTACTCTCCGGCAGGTTCCTGGTGTGCAGGTGAAGGGAGATAAGGGTAGACCAAGTAAGCTCCTCTCCGTTTCAGTCGAACATTTCTGCCAATAAAATAAAAATATATATATATATAAAGCTCTTGAAAAAAAAATAAAAATACGTATGCCAAAGTGTGACAAAGTGACAAAAATGAATTTAAGTTCCAACATTGTGTTTTTGCGTTAGTTGTTTATATTCCAAATCCTCTTTTTTGTTGGCACATCTTGAATTCAGAAATGGTCCACATTCAGTCACAGCCAGACAACTTCCTCTGCCAGTGCAGGATATTCAGATGCACAATTTGCAGTAGTGTGATGGTGTGAATATAAACCTCATGTATTTTTTACACCACACATGCTTTGGGACTGAAAAGTCAGTATGTTTTCAGTCTGTAACAGCCCTGCACTGCAGAATCTTGTTCTACACACACCAACTTTAGAGCTGCAGCTTGTTTTTCTTTTTTTATAAATGCAATTTAATTGCAGTTTAATGCTAGTTCACATTTTAAGCTCTTAGATTCAAACAATAAAAACTGAATAACCACTACTGTAAAAAATATTTATTTATAGCCCAGTTTTCCTCTCAGGTTTCCTTGTGGTAAAAGGAGTTTGGCATTGCCAGTGATACACCATGCCCATTGTCTCATAGAAACATGTTTCACTGGTTGCAGATATGTAATTATATGTCATGTTACTCTTTTGTATTGAATTGATTTGGATACATCTTCATTTTTGCCTGTCTAATTTTCCACCCCCATAGATAGCTTTGAGGTGTCAGTGAATGGTGAGCTGATCTACTCCAAGCTTGAGACGGGAACGTTTCCTGATACTGAACAAGTGAGTGTGTCAAAAAAAAAAGAAAAAGGAATAATCTTATTTTTAATGAACCAATTTGTTTACGGAAACACCTACTTAGACTGTCTGTCTCATTTAGAGCTCTTCAAAAACAAAGATAGCAAATTACATTTTCCTAAAGTGACAATTAACTATTCAAATGGATTGTGTCATAATAAAATTTGCATCATAAGTAGCATTAAGATTTATTACTATCTAAACTGCCTAAACTGATAAGCCCTTTCCATGAGACATGTTATACCTGACTGTGTTCTTCACAGCAGTGCGTCAAGTTGATTGTGGTATGGACACCACACCCACATACTTCAGAAGAACCTTACAGATACTAGATACAGATATATCTATTTTGGTCTCACACAGGTTCTGTGTTCCAACTAAATTTTGTAAAGCAGAATGGCCAGTCAATTAGGCAGAAAAATACATAGGACATGGAAACATGAATGTAGAAATGTTTTTGCCAATTCATCTTATAGTTATTGAGAAACTTCAAATTACCATTTTTTTTTTTTTTTTTTGCTGCTAGCATGGTTAAAAATAAACGAAATAAAAGGAGACAGTCTTATATATCACTACTGAATCTCTTTGTGTTTCATTTGATCAGGTGACAAAAAGGGTGAGGGAGATGGTCCAAGGAGAAAAAGCGGGGAAATCCTCAAAGAAAGAGCAGAAGAACTACTGCTCTCACCATTAGAGCTGTATTCACACTGCAAGAGTAATACATGGTTTGTCTTCTGTGGTTCGAAACTCATTCTCATCACATCTGCTTAACTCAAGACCAAAATGAATTCAAACTTTAAAATATGAGTAAATTTTCATTTTTAAGTTTTAATTGTCGACCATAACCAAAATCTTTGAGTCTCATAGTCAACCAAGAAGATCAGACCATAAACTGTCTTCACTGTGAATACAAAGACGACAAGATGATGACAGCAACTCCAAGGAGCCAGGCACTGATCTGTACTTCTGTTTATGAATGTATACATTGAAAAACATGTGGTGTGTACACGATGCAAGTGTAGAAGCTTTTCAGCAGACTGGACCCTGAGGAACTGCTCTGTGCATTATTAAAACGTCTCTTTAACTGCATTTAATTTAGATTGGGAAAAAGGGAAAATATAACTCTTCATCAGCCACATATATATTTAATATTCAGTTCCTCTCTGTTTGGATAAGTCCAGAAGTTTTGGGTCTGTGCTGTGACAGGGCAGGAATTTAAAAGAATAGTTTGAAATTTTTGGAAATATGCTTATTTTCTTTCTTGCCAAGAGATCAGAAGATTGATATGATGAATATAAGGCTACTTTTAACAGCCAATTATCTTAGCTTAGGATAAAGACTGGAAGCAGTGGAAAACTTGCTTTCAGTGTTGGCCTGTTTCCTGACTGGGACCAGTAAATTAATGGACTGTTTAGTCCTGGTCCAGGTCAATAAATAGTCCAACACATGACCCACCCATAAATTGGCATCTTGTAATTTTTGCACTGTGGTTTTTGAATAGATTAAACAAACAAAATGTAACATGTTTATTAGTTTGGTTAGAGTCAGACTAGCTGTTTCCACTTGTTTCCAGTCTTTATGCTAAGCTCAGCTAACCAGCTGCTAGTTGTATCTTCATATTTATCTGACAGCCTTAAGAGTTGTATCAATATTCTCATCATCTTAGCAAGACAGCAAAGAAGGGTATTTTTTCAAAACATTTCTTTTAATCTTTGTGAGGTTGCAGACAGAATATGCATTCCTCTGTGATTAGTCTTTAAATGTTGGACATTTTCAAAACACCTTATATCATTACGACTGTTCAACTATGGATGTCTGTATTTCTAGTATGGCACTGTTCTGATATATAAGAAGTATTTTCTATTCATATGCTCTATTTTTCCAAATATATAAATGGACTATTACCTAGATGGTGTTTAATTGTGTTCTCTTTGTTACTAATTTAACAGTTATGATAAATTTTAATTCAAATGTTGCTTATTGAAAAACAGATATGTAATTTGACATGAAACATCTATCTGGATTTTTAAATGACTTGTTCTACTGATGCTAACCAGTTTGCAACCAATTCCAACAAAAAAAGCCAAAACATTTTCCAGAAATGCAATAAAATATGAGGGATTAACTGCTGATCTGCTCATTTCATCTCATTTTCATACTGCTTATTTAACTGTGCAGCATTGTCCTGGTGAAGAAGACTATGCAGGCAAGTCTCTCTGTGATGACGAGCTGACAGTACTGGCTGTGTGTCTGACAGACATCACTAGAGATCAGAAATGCCAGTGAATCAGCCAGATTTACCTAACTGTTCCTGCTCAAACATCCATCCATTCTTACCAGATATAATCAAATCATATCTGAAAATCATGTTGGGATGGAAAAACATAGTTTCCCGTTGTAAGTATTTTAGAAAATGTCAGGATGTTCAATGTACTTCAAAGCAATTAATATTTTATACCCTATAGATTTTTAAATTTAAATCTGCAAAGTAACCAGTAACTATAGCTGTCAAATAAAAGTAGTAGAATAAAAACTACAACATTTATCTCTGAAATGTAATGTGGAAGAGCCTAGAGGAAAAGTCTATATAAAATGTAACTATTCAAGAAACGTACAAGTACTTCAAAAATGTATAGGCACAATTAGTTTGGATTCACTCAACACTGTTGTGGAGAAACGCATGCAATGTAAGATGGAGGCCATCTTGGACAATACCAACCATCCTCTCCACAACATTCTGGCAGGACAGAGAAGCAACTACAGGTGCAGCAAACGTCTCATCTCACTGCGCTGCAGAACAGAGAGATTCAGGAGATCCTTTGTTCCCACTGCCATCAGGCTATACAACAACTCAGCCAAAGGATGTGGACTAATCTAATTGTTATTGTTTATTTATTATTAACTGTTATTATTATTATTATTATTATTATTATTATTATTATTATTATTAGGGATAGGGATAAATAAATAAAGTATCTATCTATCTATCTATCTATCTATCTATCTATCTATCTATCTATCTATCAATTGCCCATCAGCTATGGAGACTTAATTCAATCAGAACATTTTCAGTGATTATAACCACCAGGCTATCTTTTGTCACACCTCCACACTGTCCTGTGTGAAATAAACTGAGTAGTAACCATCTGGACCAGCTGTAGTTGTACTGATCAGCCCTGAGGGTTTACCTTGTTCCTCATTACCCTTAGGGGCTGTAACAGAAACACATCAGATGGACAAGGATATAGTATAATCTGCCTGTCTGGTCCTGAAAAACCCATCTGGAAATTGATGGGCCCCAGCCACACTGATCCCTGCTCAGCAGCAGCAGCAGCAGCAGCAGCAGCAGCAGCTGTGTGCCCTGCATATTATTATGTTAAAGGATAAGGCTGGCAATATTCTATTTTGACTAAAACCAACAACATGAAAGTCCAACTCTCCATTCTTTTAGCCTTCACTAACCAGTCTATGGCACTAAGCCCCAAGTGTACTGATTCATATTGAAGACATAAATCTTAAAAAAAATAAATAATGGGAGTAGAGTTTCATTTTTAGAAATGGCTAAATAATTTCCTTAAAGGAACTATATAAATATATACATTTTTCCTATTGTTACAAAGCCAATGTTAGCATTAACAGCTGTTTATTCACCAGTCTAGAAGAAATGTTGCAGGTTCAGCATCAACTTTCATTCCTTTGCTTGCCAAGAGCTGTCTCCAGAGGTGGAAAGCAACGCCAATATTCACTCTTGTTTTGCTTCTGTTTTCTTGTCTTGCTCATCTTTTCTTGTACATTAGCATGCTAACCAGCTAGCCCTGTCTCATCCTATCTGGTAATACTACTTTGTGATAATGAGTCACTGTAGTGTCCAGTCTGCCCTCAGTTCAGCATGAAAGGATGAAGGAAGCAGCACTGATCAGAGGGTGTATTATAACCTCTTGTCTTGTAAACACAACAATGGATGAAGCCTTTAAACAGCTGGGCACTGCAGTCTTTTGTAGACATTAGCCAAACAGGAGCAAATGGTGTATTTGTTGGGGATTATTTTCAGCTGTGGATCAATACATGGTGCTACAGAACAGGTGGGTATGGGACAGAGTCAAAATAAACTACAGTGCTGTTCGTTATAATGTTCATCATATTAAAGCACATCAATGGAGCGCCACAGGACCGAGAAATAAGCTATATCAGGCTTTGGATACACAGACAATAGTTATTAATAGGGTCAGTTTAATTTTGGTTTGGGTCCTTGTTGATCATCAAATCACTAGACTTTGTGTCTTTAAACCTCTTTAAACTTATATACTGTATGTAAAGAAAGATGTTAGAAATTGGAACAATATCATATTTTGACTTATGTGTCTAGCTAAAAGAAACATGTATTTTAGTATGTCTGTTTATATTATAGAAATATGTTACATAAATACATATCCATACCAAAGCCTGTCAGTATATATTCAAATTATGAATGTAAAAATAAAAAATAGACATAAATGTTTAAATTTAATTTAATTATTAATAAAAATATATATAAACATATCGAATTTTAATAAGCATGTTGTTTTAATAAAGTTGCATTTTACTATGAGTGTTTCATATATGTTATGAACTTATATCTCCAAATATCCAGAGGATGTGTCATAATAATACATCCCTGTAGATGATACGTATGGTAACATCACTCTTGAAATATAGACATATATGTAATATACAGGTATATGACATGAGTCATAGTATACTAAGGCATGAAAACATCATGTATATTGAGACATAAAGGGTAAGGCATGAGTTGCCAATGAACCTAATGTGCATATCTTTGGAATGTGGGAGGAAGCAAGAGTACATGGAGAGAACCCACTACGCTCCTTTAATGAATAAATTATATATTAAGATAAAAACATCAAGGATAGTAAGGCATAAATACGTGATAGTATAGTAAGGAATAAAAAAGGTGATACTATAGTGAGGCATAGGAAGTCATTGTATAAAAAGGCATAAAACATCATTTTATAGTAAGGCAAAAAAACGTCATAATATAGTAAGGCATAAAAAACTCATTGTATAGTGAGGCATAAAAACGTGATAATATAGTAAGGCATAAAAACATCATCGTATAATGAGGCAAAAAAAGTTCATAACATAGTAAGGCATAAAAAGTCATAGTTTAGTAAGGCATAAAAAGTCATAAAAACGTCATAGTATAGCAAGGCATAAAAAAGTCATTGTATGGTGAGGCATAAAATGTTATAAGAAAGTCATAGTATAGTAAGCCATAAAGATGACAAAATATGTCTTAATATAATAAGGCATAAAATCTCATAAAAATGTCATAGTATAATAAGTTGTAAAATGTCATAAAAGCATCATACCATAGTGAGGCATAAAAACATCATCATATAGTGAGGCATTAAATGTCATAAAAATGTCAGGATATAGTAAGACATAAAAACGTCAAAAACAATCACAATATACTAAGCCATAAGAATGTCATAGTATAGTAAGGCATAAAAATGACAAAATACTTCATAGTATAGTAAGGCATAAAATGTCAAAAAAAGTCATACTATAGCAAGGCATAAAAACGTCTAAAAACGTCATAGTATACTAAGCCATAAAAACATCATGTAAAGTAAGGCTTAAAATGTTATAGTATAGTAAGGCATAAAAACATTAAAAAACATCCTAGTATAGTAAGGCAAAAAATTACATTAAAACGTCATAGTATAGTATAGTAAGGCAAAAAATGTCATGATATAGTAAGACATAAAAACGTCAAAAACAGTCACAATATACTAAGCCATAAGAATGTCATATTAAACTAAACCATTAGAACGTAATAGTATAGTAAGGCATAAAAATGTCATAGTATAGTAAGGCATAAAAATGACAAAATACTTCATAGTATAATAAGGCATAAAATGTCATAAAAAAGTCATACTATAGCAAGGCATAAAAACGTCTAAATACGTCAGAGTATACTAAGCCATAAATACATCATGTAAAGTAAGGCATAAAATGTCATAGTATAGCAAGGCATAAAAATTACATAAAAATGTCATAGTATAATAATGTATAAAAACATCAAAAAACATCACAGTGTACTAAGCCATAAGCATGTCATAATATAGTAAGGCATAAAATGTCATCAAAACGTCATATTATAGCAAGGCATAAAAACGTCTAAAAACGTCATAATGTACTAAGCCATTAAAACATCATGTAAAGTAAGGCATAAAAACATTAAAAAATGTACTAATATAGTAAGGCATAAAATTTCATTGTATAGCAAGGCATAAAAACATTAAAAAACGTCATTGTATAGTAAGGCAAAAAATTACATTAAAATATCATAGTATAGTAAGGCAAAAAATTACATAAATATGCCATAGTATAATAATGCATGAAAACATCAAAAAACATCACAGTGTACTAAGCCATAAGCATGTCATAGTACAGTAAGGCATAAAATGTCATAGTATAGTAAGGCATAAAAACATCATAGTATAGTAAGGCATCAAATGTCATAAAAATGTCATAGTATAATTAGGCATAAGAACATCAAAAAACATCACAGCATACTAAGCCATAAGCATGTCATAGTATAGTAAGAAATAAAAATGACAAAAAACTTCATAGTATAGTAGGGCATAAAATGTCATAAAAAAGTCATACTATAGCAAGGCATAAAAACGTATAAAAACGTCATAGTATACTAAGCCATTAAAACATCATGTAAAGTAAGGCATAAAATGTCCTAGTATAGTAAGGCATAAAATTTCATAAAAACGTCTTACTATAGCAAGGCATAAAATCGTCTAAGAACGTCATAGTATTTTAAGCCATAAACACATCATGTAAAGTAAGGCATAAAATGTCATAGTATAGCAAGGTATAAAAACATTAAAAATTGTCATAGTATAGCATGTCATAAAAATGTCATAGTAAAATTAAGCATAAGAACATCAAAAAACATCACAGCATACTAAGCCATAAGCATGTCATAGTATAGTAAGGCATATAAATGACGAAATACGTCATAGTATAGTAAGGCATAAAAACATTAAAAAAACATCCTAGTATAGTAAGGCAAAAAAATGACAAAATACTTCATAGTATGGTAAGGCATGAAA